ATTAATCATTTTGGAGTTTTCAGAAAATATCAGTTCACCACATCATATACTCTGTTTATTTCTTGTTTAATGAGCTCTATTAAGTTAGTTAAGCAAGACCTATTTGTGATAAATCCATGTTGACTTTGTTCACTGAACAAGACTTTTCCAGTCAATGGATATCACCCATATCCTTAGTGAGTGCTGAAAGACTCTTGTTAAATGCTTTTGTTTCCATACGTGCAACCTGTTGAATACTGTCAGGTCCTGATACTTAACTGTTTCTTGTACCTCTAACAGGTCTGCCTTCCTTGCACAAATATACACCTTGGTATCTCCAGGTCAGCCAGAGGAATGCTGTCAGTTTCTTTCTTTGTGAACATCTGGGTAAAACATTCATGTAATACATGAGCCATTTCATCAGCTAAAGGATTCCAGTTATGTTTGAGACGGTTTACTAAATCGTTTGCTGATCCTTCCGCAATCCTGAAAAACCCTTTACATACTTTAACCTCAATTGCAATACTATTTCCCAGTTCTCTTGGCCTCTTCAATATCCGGTACACTGAACTACAGTGCCGTGCTGTAATATCAATAAAGTTTCTACAGACAGGAAGTGTACGTTTCCTTTCTGGGATTGGGATTATAGAAGTAGTCCACAGTGAAGTACTGCTGGAAGTGCCAGGACATTCCCAGAATCATGAATAATGCATACAATGACAAAATCAGCCATGCGTCAAGAGTCCAATGCTGACCAAAAGCTCACAGAAGGCCTGATTAGTGGATCCACAAGCCCATGAATAAACTGCAACATTATAACTAGGGTCCTGTACACCAATCTTTCTTCCCCGTCACTAGGTTTTAGCAGTAACTTCTCACGCACGCACACACATGCACACACACATCTTCAGGATTGGGTTTTGGCCTGCCTTGGGCTTCAATTCAAAGGTCACCTACGAATTAAGATTAATCCTTATCATGAGCACACATTTTAGCAACCTTGGTTCTGTCCTTGTATAGATTTCAGTGCAGACACAGACAGAGAACACTCCGATATGACCCCTGTGACTCTATAGTGGAAAGAGCCAATTCGCAGATTTACCATGATAGGTGGACAAGGCCGTCCAAAGTAGTTTACATTTACTCCCCAAGGATGATGTTCGAACATATGCTGGATGCTGAGCAACACAGCCCAGCTAATCGCTTGGCATTTGTGAAGCAATGATTAAGGGGAAGCACAGCATTTTAGGCAAAATGTGATGATGCCTACCATACAGGATCTTAGGTGCACAAAGGAAAAAAAAAAGCACTTTATCTAAACTTTCTGAACTATGAATGGGTTCCCAGCAGCTCAAATCTGTTCATTGTCCAAACCACACGGCCTTTGGGGAATGAAAACTGGCTTGAAAATGATTTTTTTTATCCGCACAGTACTGAGCCTGAAATGGAATATTAACATCTAAGCTTTCACCTCAGTCCTTTCTAAAGCTTCCTTTTCCCTGAGGAGTTCAGCTAAAGTGCACATCAAGCCCAAGGCAGAGGGGAACAACTCCCATTACGCACAAACCTGTGTGTGGTTACGACAGTCAGCCCCCCCAGGAGTACTCATTTGGGCAATTAATCACGTAATAATTAGTTATTTGCTCATAAGCCAGTCCTGCAACTCATCTGGGAAATCCACATGAAATATTACTTACATCAAACGTTTCTAACCCTGGTCCTACAGAGCCCTTGTTCAGAGTTTTATATAGGTCATTCTATAGGAATATGGACTATAGGATACAGGACTATAGGACAGGGAACACTTGGAAGATACTTGCAATTAATCAAGTTGCACAATTAAAGGATCTCTTGCCCTTGAAAACTGAAGAATTTTGTTACATGTGACCTATAAATTACTTCATTTAACAAGTCACATGGATCTGTTCACAATTTAATCTCCCCAAGTGTTCTTTAATGGCTTGACACCTATAACACCTGCTGGACTGAGCATGCCATGAAGAGGCCAGTATGGTATCTCTCCAGCAGTAGCTCTCGTCCCTGGTCACCAGGAACTACTGTTGCCGCTGGGTGTTCTTCCTAGCTGGGCCCTAAATCACGGGTGGGTTCATTGATCTGCTTGCTTATTTAGACTCTTTTTCTGCACTGTCTTTGATTTCAAAAGCTAAAGCAAATCATTTCTCACAACTTAAGATGTCTGACTATAAAGCTAGAAAAGGGTGATCAGTTTATGATTATCCCACGGTGGGTATTTGTTTTTTCCTCCTGTTCAGCCTTCATCATATTCCAGCCAAACGAGAAATTCAGAAAGCCAGAAGCCTGGCGCAGGGACGATACCAAACTACAAACCCCCATACAACGTTTTTAAAAACACACCTAAAGGTGGCGGATTGTCTTATCTAAACTCTACACCTCAATACAGGCGACGCGGAAGCAACAGGTCCTAAAACATGCACAGCGAGATATGCGAATGTTTTTTTTTTAAACCCAAAACATCCATCTGCTTTCTTTTTCTGCGAGAGCGGACAGAACAAGAATAACACAAGGGAAGTAGAGAGCAAATGGTCTCATCTGTGATGTATCTCAGGAGGGGCAGCCATGTCCACCAGCTCGCCCTCCTTCTCCAAACCCACACGGCTACCTCAGTGCGCACAGAGGCCGGGATCTAATTAGGAGACACGGATTACAGAGCGCAGGGAGCAGAAACAACAGGTTTTCATTTCAACAGGACAGAAGCGGTGGTCAGAACTTGAAAACGACCGCAAGATGTTAACACGCATGTTTTTTTTTAAACTTTCGAAAACGTTTGGTGCTGGCACTGGGGGAAAAAAAAAGAGAGAGAAACCAAAACAAAAAGTCCTCGGTAATAAGAAACAACCCCCCTGAATAAACACACCATTCTAAGTCTCCTTTCATCTGTCACCATGTCCTAACTGTACGTACGAGCAAAGTCCCCTTCAGCAAAGTCAAGACTGACGTTTAGGAGGTTCATTTCTTCATCGCGGAACGAGACTTGTGGCGATAGGATTTTGCACTTAAGATCTGCGATCAATTAGAAGTCAACAGTGGACAGACCAGCGGTCTGCTGTTGTGCGTCAGCTTTCCTGGGTTCTCATGTTCCAAACAAATGAAACACTGCTATTTAAAGATGACCAAGGAGTTAGAAAAACAACCGTTTCCTTTCATACTGCCCCCAGGGCAGTAGGGGATGGAGGACACACAAAGAAGGCAATAAAACGCATTCGTTAATCTAAAAACTAAAAACGTTCTCTTCTTCAGCTACCAGCGCACAGAGATAGCCTTGAGCAATTTTCCACTGGTTGTGGCAATCCACGCACGGTGTTGAAGTTTAGTGTTTTATCAAATGCTTAAATATTTAAATGTTCAGATACAATGACGACTATTGTGCTGCCTTTTGCACAGGATTGAAGCTGCCAGCGTCCCCCTCCGTGAACTTGAGCTACACAATAAGCCGCATGTCTTTCGCCGAGCCGCAGCCATAGTTTTCAGCGGGACATTTCGCACAGAACACGACGGAAAACGAAAGAGACTAATATCCGTCCACGGAGGTGCGTTTCTCGAGTGGGGGGCTCTGCGGGTGAAAAGACTCGCGCCCTCCCGTCACATTTTCTGAGGGACTGTTTCCGAAATGACATGCCCTCCACCACTTCTTTTACCAGTGGTGGTGGTGGAGGAGGGGATCCCCATTACCTGTAAAGCGCTTTGTAAGTGTAAGCAATTATTATTATCTGCAAATGACACACACCTGGGGCGTCGCACTTGCCTCTTATTAGAGCAATACATCTTGCTGACGTGGGTCTCACTTAAATTTCATTTAAGTGTTGAGAAATCCGTCCCTTCCACCTCCCCATATGAGAACGCTACTTGAACGCTCTCGACTCCTCTCTCTCTCTCTCCCCCCAATTCTGCATATGAACATGCAACACACGCGACCTTTCAATACTGTTTCAGGATACTCATGTGAGGCGGCGAGAAATCAAATCAAATCGGGTACCGACGACACTTCGGAACTCACAGATCTCTCTAATAATTCTCTTCCCGACTCACCTCTAGCCTCAAATGGATAATTGGACCAGGATCGCCCTAGTTCAGTGGAAGAGCAGACCGGATCACTCCCCTAGTATATAATCCTACATAATCTGGGAAACACACGCCAAGGGGGAAAAAAAATATTTACAGCAACCCTGTGACTGGTTTGCGTTTCCAGGCGGTACGAACTGATTGGTCTCGGGTGTGCACAGCGAGAATAGTGAACAATGCGCGCCTTGAACCTGGGAGGATGCCGGAGAGAAAAGTTTCATCGAGAACCGCAACACCACGCGAGCTCTCCTCCCTCACACACACACACGCGCAAGACAAAATCAAGCCGTGCGAAACCAATAGAGAACAATCGAAGCTGGTTTCCCATTGTTAACACCCAAAGCCCCAGAATTCAACAACAGAAGTCAATATATATACATACTTCGATTATTGAATTTTAAATGCCGTTCTCTGGAACACGAAAACGACCCCACTGCCCTGTGCCTTTGCGCCTTGATCGCCCTGAGAAAACTAACACGACCCCTCGCTGCAAGCACGCACAATCGACTTCTTCGGGACTTCTGTTGCGAGTCAACACAATCACTGTGATTGCAGTGGGTCATTGTACTCGCACAGTCCCCTGTGAACGACTTCATGAAACAGGGACGCAAGCAGGGTCATTCTGTCCCGTGAACGGCACCCACGACGCAACCGATTGGTTTCATCTCAAATTGAATCCCATCGGCTCGTCTGCACAGGGTGATTACAATGAAACAAGCGAATCTAAAAGACCTGTACTGGAAGGAGCCCCTACCGAGGTTAATCACGCTGAAACTATCAATGGAAGAACAGACCTAGGTTTTTTTTTCTGAACAGGAAAAAAAAAGTATAAAAACAAACAAAAACTGCAATTGTATAAGCTACAGCAAGCTTTTAGTTCTGTTAAACATCGAAGATTTCAAAATAACGTTTAACCTTGCCTCTTTATAGCCTTCTCTTACTCCTCTTTCCCAGAAAACGTGTTGATTTTTTTTTAAATTCCCGAAATGATGAGCAAGTTTCAGAGCTGTCTGGTCCCCTCTCCCGCTGGTCCGGTGGTGCGTTTCGATGCCTCACTAATCCGGTTCCCGTCCCGTGCGCTCTAGGTTTCCACGGAGCTCGGAAAGATGACCCGGCAGAGCGAGTCCACAGTCGCAGGGAGTGGCTCCAACTCACTGTTCCAAACTGCCAGCCGTCCCTCAATGTTAATCACCTTCAGCACAAAACACGCCCATGTTCCCAGCTCCCCTTTTCCAGCTCAATCCCAACTCTCCAGAAACCGGCTAGGAGCAGATGGACAAGGAAGCGGAGCGGAGGACTAGCTCCGCCAAGTGTCCATTTGGAGAATTACAGATGGACCACGTAAATTTAGTCCATAAATGTTCTAGATGAATATCCTGTTAATGAAATGTGGACATCTAAAGGAATAAAAAACTGATTAATCTGTTTGTTTTATTGTTCTTCTTCTTATTATGTAGTTCATAAAAAACAAATCATAAAACTTTGAAAATAAGGATTACTTAATATATTTAAAGAGATGCATACCTTTGTATAGCTGTTGCTAAGGAAGTAAAAAAAAAAAAACAGGGAGATGAGCCAGCAGTGTATTTTGGTAAAAGATACAAGACTGAATCCCGTGCCTTAAAACGCATCCAACAAAATCCTTTCTTCTACAGTAATAAGGAAGCTGCAAGACTGTGGTTTAGTGACCTGTTGGCAGGCAGTGTGTCAGGGAACACTGTGTTTCCAGGATCATATTCACCTTGATCATGCTGTAGAAGACTGTGCAAAGGTTACACTGGGCTCCAACGCAGCCACATTTCAATTGCAGGCCTGCTAATGGAGCATTGCTGATAATTATGTAAATCTGGGAGATTCCTTCCTTTTATCTCCGGTGTCTATAGGCGGGTGATAGACAGGTCTGGGGGGAGGGGAGAGGGCAGTGGGATTGAACTGTTGGGGTGGGGGGCAGAGGGAGAAGTCTCTCCTCCTGAGAGCAATGGGCTACTTCTCTGAGCAACTCCCCTACTGCCCCAGGCTCTGAATCACCAGCATCAGACCAGACAAGGCTGAGACAAAACTGGAAGGCACACACACACACACTGGCTAAAATACAGCAACTGATGTCCGAAAAACAGAAGAACTCAAACTTTTACTTGAAGCTTCTAACGTTTTCTGTTTTTCTTTTTCCGGCAACAACATACAAGAAGCAGGTTTAATAAACTGATCTACTGCAGCAACGCATCACCATGTGGTTTCTTGCATTTCAGCTTTTAGAACCATCCCACTCAGAAAATCGGAACCATGCATTAAATTCTGTACATATTCCAAGTGCTGGGAGTACAAACTGCTTACACTCAGAGACGTGCTGAGACGAGCTGTTAGTATCTCCTCTGATTCCTCACATGTTCTTCATGAAGAATAGCAACTGATGTCTTCACATAGATGTTTCTAGAGTCCCTCGATGCAGACATTACAACATGGAGGAATTGGTTTATCCCACGTTCGGTAATGCTACTCTATAAACGAGCTGGCATTGAAGGAGCCCTGGTTTATGGGCAAGTGCAGTCAGTGGTTATGTGCACAAATGAAGGGGTGTTGTGCAATTATAGGAGCTGAAGGTGACTGTGGGGGAGTAAACTCACAGGTTCTGTTAATCTCTGTGGATTCCTGTAGGAGTGGCATGTAATGACTATGTATGGGTGGATGTCTTCTATGTAATGTTCTATTTATTTTTCATGTGATGTTTATTTGTACTGTTGGTTTGTTTTTTGTAAGGCTATGTGTAAAACATAGCTGCTTGAATGCAATACAAAATTATTGTATCAGATACTGTATGTTAAAGCATCTCTCGCTGCCTTAATACGTCCGGAGCAAACAAAACCAGATTAAACTAGTGTTAAAGGCTGGGCCTGCTCTGCCCTCTGTAGCTGTTGGTGTTTTCTGGATCGCTGGGGATCATGCCAGGCTGTACTGTCTGGACATCAGAGTGGAGCTGTTGTCTGTGTTTGGCTGCTACCAGGGAACGTCGGAGCTTCACAGACTTGCTGACCTCGCAGTGTCTCTGTCTTCCTCGCTGTCTGAACTGCAGTGCTTTCAATGAAAAGCTAACGTTATTTCCTCTGAATTTAACGCTGTTACTCACAGGTGTGGTATACTACCTCAGCCCCACAGATCTACACCTGGGCCTCCAGCCGTAGTTTGAATTGCAAAGCCCAGTTCTCGAGGAATCACAACACTCAAGAATCAAGTGTTTCAGAAACAAAATATGGTCATTGAGTGTGTAGTCATAGTGAATTTGGTTTAAGCCTCTTGGCTGAGGGCCAAGGTCAGGGGGGCCACAGAGGGAGGAGGCTGGGACCCCCATGCAGGGTGAGGAGTGACCAAGGGGCAGCTGCACAGGTGGAGATGGGGCCGAGGAGGGATGCGAAAGACGAATGTGAACTTACAGTATTTTTTGCTGTTTTTTTTTAATTCAGAAAATGACATCAGGGGTGATATATGAGTCAGGACAGCTATGAATTCAGATTTGCTTTCCTCGTCCATTTTAAGTACTCTGGTCAGTGGCCCTCAGCCAACTAGACTTGAGGACTCCATTACTCTTTACAGTTCCACTATTGGGAGAGTTTTAGATGTCAAGTCTCCATTTCCTGTCACTCCTCTTGGTACGACAACCGACTTAGCTCCATGAACTCTCATGGGCATCTAATCAAATGGAGATGGAGGGATACTAGTCTGTTTGTTTTTTTACTTGCCTTCAAGCAGCACTAACAGTGCTGTAGTACTGCACGGACAGTCACCAGGTCAGAGATCTAAGGAAGGGAACAGTGATTCTAGAACCCTTTTTCTAGAGCACAAGTCATCATCTCCTAAACCCAGTTAACAGAGTCTACAGTACAGCAAACAGATTTCTGAATCATTTCAATCTAAAATTAACCACATCTGGAGTCAGATTGATTCTTGTGATTCTAATTCTGATAATAATTCCTTACTCTCAAGATGAGTGGACTCTCCTTGCAGCTCCACACTGTCTCTAAGCAGCTCTCTGAAATCAGCACTACAGTGAAACCTTTCTCCATAACTTTCCCCTTTCCCACTGCGCTGCTGGGGTTAAACTGTGCAATTCGCACTTCCATTGTCACTCTCATCATTAGTGAACCATTAAAGTCTGGACTCATTCCCTCTGCCCTTAAACCTGCAGTTATTACCCCCCTGTTAAAACAGCAGAATTTAGACTCCAGTTTGCTCAGTAATTATCGGCTGGTATCTAACAGTTTTTGGCAGAAGTTCTAGAACAGGCTGTTACTGTTTAGATAAAAGCTGTCTTATCTGAACACAAGCTGTATGAGCCTTTTCAGCCTGGGTTTGGATCGATGCACAGCACAGGAACTACTCTAGTTTGGTGTGTAATAATCTGCTGATGACTGCTGGCTCTTGATTTCTATCTATTCTTGTCCTGCTGGACCTCAGTGCTGCTTTTTAGAGCTATTAGAGCTATCAGACTGACATATTGAATAGAGGAAAGATGGTTTCAATTAGATTTAAGTTTTTAAACATTTCTCACTAACATAAAACAGTTTGTTCAAATTGGTCATTGTTCTTTAACAAAGTAGATCACATAAAACATCCTGCAGGGCTCTGCTCTCGGACTCTTTCATATTAGTATCTATGTTACCTATGGGTCCAATTCCTCATGGATATGCCAGTTGTCATTTGTATGCCTCTGACACACAAATGTAGTGTAAAGTGCTTTTGACTTCCTTATTACTTTGCAGCTGAGTTCCATGTAGGGCCCAGGGCCTGATGCGTCCTGATCAAGTGTCCTGATCCCTGTCCAGGCTTGTAGTCAAGGATCTGGCATTGAACACATGAAGAACATTCCCATCATCCTTGGGCAGCTGCCAGACAACCAATTAAACAGCACGAAACCCCACAGGTTTTATCTGTCTTTTCAAGTTTTTACTTGTGTTTTTATCGCTCTGTTTCCATTGGCATGCATAAGCACGTGCCTAGACGGGTAGGAAGCCCTGAAAACGATGAAGAGGATGAACAGTACCTGCGTGTCATACATGGCTGTGATAGAATTGCAGCCCCAATCCGTTGTTCACTCCAACAGATGAGCTGCAGCAGGGACTGGAGCACGTGGAACTGAGTATCTTATTCCTCCATGTTCACTAGGATTGAGATCTGAGGATGGTTCTGGCCTAAATAAAATAATTATTACATATTCCAATAATTATTTTATTTAAACCTCCCTTTAATACATAAATATGAGCTCTTAGATTCACTCTCTGGAGGCTTCTCCTTGATCTGACGTATCTTGTAACAGTTTATCCTTCTCTCCTATCAGGTTTCAGGAATTCTCACCCCTTCTTGACTACACATCCACTTCAATTTGGTGACATCTGAGGGTTTCTTTGCATGGACAGCTCACTTCAGGTCCTTCGATAACATTTCATTGGGTTAAGATCAGGACTTTGTCTCGGCCAATCCAAAATGTTTGGGATTATTGTTCTACTCCATGACCCACTATTGGCTTGTCTTCGTGAATGGATCACAGCTGATGCGTGGATGGCCTGACATTCTTCTCCGGCATTTGCTGATACAGCACCGAACCGAATTCATGGTTCATTCAATGATGGTAAGACATCCGAGTCCCGAGGCTTCAAACCAGCCCCTAACCATGATGCTGTCACCACCATGCATGATGGTCAGAATGGATTCTTGTTGGAAGGCAGAATTTGATCTTAGCCAAAAGTGTCTCATTCTGACCCGAAAGTTCAACATTGGACACATCTGTCCAGGGAACATTCTTACAGCAGTGTTGTGGGATGTCCAGGTGCTCTTCATTTAACTTGGGATTCTCATTCTTTTTCGAGAGGAAAGGTTTCTTCTTGACTGGCCTCCTTTGAATACCATTCTTGTTCAGTATTTTTCTAACGGCAGAGACATGTTTACCTGTTACTTGACTAATTAACGACCTGATTCTAATGACCCTTTAGCTGGTCGAAGTAAAGTACGAGTTCACCTTTTCATTTCAACCTAAACTGACTTTTAATTATTAGTTTAATCACACCATAGCAAAAAAGGAATTGGGGAAAAAAGGTTATCACGGTAAGAATGTGTAACTCCCAGAATTATATTTCTGGTTCATGAACGTCTGTCTCTGCACAGTAACTGGACATCGAGAGTGATTGTATTTAAAGGTTGTGCTCCATGTTACCTGCAGAACACACCCTCTATGTATCACTCACAACAACAACAACAACAACAACAACAACAACA